GCAAAGATATAAACTGTTATTCCATCTTATTATTTTGTTCAATTGGATGTGTGGTTGCTGTATAATACATTGCAATTACTCAGAAGAGCTAAATGCAGCGTGCCGTGTCAGTCAGCGGTGTGGTCGGTCTGTAATGTTCCTGCCCATGTCAGTCTCTTCTTGTATTCAACACTCAGAAATACATATTTTAAACCACGGGAGAATTGAGCAAAGTTGGCATTCTTTACAAGCCGGGCATTTGAGAGTTTGTCGAATGCCGTGTTGTGCACGTTTGGAATACAATAAGACAATCGACATCGTTTTCGTAGAATGTCACATAGTAACCGCAGGGTTTCATAAAATCTCTTTCGGATTGACCATGCATAACATGTAGATTAACTCTGAAAAGTGAAAGTGGGAAAATTAATTACCATGGTTACGAACTACTTGATTCAACAGGGAAAAATTGCAGGCTAGACTTTTAAAAAAGCCGCTTGACAAGTTTGAATGACTTCTGTCGCTGCTCAGTCAACACCGTTAGGGACTAATCCTTTTTCGTCGACAAAAAGGTTACCAAAATCCCTTTAGGGTGACTTGTTACATTAAATCTGAATCAGATTTACTGCAGGGTAGTACATCGTTTATTATAAAGATTGTACAAGTTTACAGATTTTACACAGAATGAAATACGTGTGGCATTACTGTAAAAATCCCCTTCATTTGCTGAGAATTACCTAGCAGCCATATTGGTGCCCGTGGTCTTCCGTAAAATGTAGGATCACATGGAGAACATTGACCGTCAAATTCTGTTAACTCGACCTTAAAATTCGCAGTACATATGGTGACCGTACATTTGGCAGAACGCCATTAGCACCCATGCTGCCAGGGAATTTCCTGTACGTTTGCAGGATATGTTAACGGCATCTTTTTGCTATGGGCAATTCTTTGTAATCCAAGAAATCTGATACACCTGAGAAATGCCGGATTGTGCATTAATGAATTACAGCTTTCATTCAAAATTCTCTCATTTTTTGACTCGACACTGTGTCATTTTAATGGCACCATTGGCAATTTGCCGTTAATTGGGTATAAATAAAAACTATTCTTCCATTTGTCAATTTCCGGTTGTTTTGTTTACGTGACGCCTTGGCACGGTCTCAATTGGGACTGCCTGGGTTTTATTGAGATTTTTTTAGTTCCATTGTGTGGTTCAAATTCTGGAGAGTACAGCCGTATTAGATACCCTAGGTTAAGCGCTGGAGATTTGCATGCCGTTACATCCCCAGGGTGAAACACAAACAGTGGAGTACCCGTGAAAACTGCTCCCCGGACAACCATCACATCAACGGAAAATGTAACAAATTGCTTCTGTTGCGATCAACTAGAGAATTCATCTGACCCGCACGTGACTCCCCTAACAAAATTTGGCGGGAATTAAGTTAAATTTGTGGCGCTAACTCGCACGGCTAACCTGGTAGACGAGACCCCCACAAGGGTAGGCGCGGGCGCTTAAGTTGTGCTATTTGTGCGGTGAACAGAAAATTCGCCCCTGGACTCGATGTGATGCAAGGCCTATCAGATGTCACGTGCTCAATTTGTGTCCCTAAAGAGTTCGTATTCTATACTCACTGCCCTGTCCAAGGGCGCTGATGAAAGCTGGTCAAATGCTGTGAAGGAAACGCAAGGCATTAAGGGTACCGTAGCCTCACTTTCCATGCACGTGGACGTGTCAAGGATCGAATGTGATTTTCAACACCTTTCGTCTGCGCTCTTTCAGAACGTTTTTGGTACGAGTGAATTCGTATCAAAGAGAGGTAGCTCTGTTAAGGGGGGTACTTTTTTCAGACCCTCATTAGTGCGCATACGGCGAAGATGCACAACGATGATCAATCAATTTGACTAGGTATCGCGTGAACTTTGACGCCATAATTACAGTTTCAAAGGAATCTTTCTGCAGAATATTTTTGACACAGTATGTGATTCGTAACCGCAAGAAAAGCATATGGAAGGATAGAGGCGAACTGTGGGAAATTGGACACTAGTTTAGGTTAAGATTAACTTAAAACGTTTTGGTAGGTTGTGACTTTAGGTTGCTGTGAATTCTTTGAATTCAGAGCAGAGCTACAATTGTGATTAAAGCAGCCACTATCTTTGTTGAAATACATTCCTCTTGTGTCGCCTTCCGTTTATTCGGAGGCTTCTTTGCATAATGCAGGGCATGTATATTACGGCTAAAGATTCCGGATATCGTAGTTCCACTTTTCCAGAAGGTCACACATGTTTCCCTCATCGAGGCAAGCGCCATCCAGTCTCACAATGTTTTACAGGTTAAAAATACGAAACGTGGTGCATACAAGAAGCACACTGGAGTAACGTTGCAGCTGTTAGAAATGTCTCTATGCACTTTTCGGGCAATGTATTTCTAGTCGTGATTGATGCAACTGGGTCGTGGTTTTTAAGAATAAACGGTTTGAAATCAATATTGTAAAGGTTGTAGCCTGAATGTCCTGCGTTCTTGTGCGAGCATTTTGTGTCAGTTGGCAAATTAGACATGCTGTTTGGCTAATAGGCTAAGTTCGTGAGAAAAAGGTCATTTTCTTCAGCCAAAGACCGGCTGAACTAATACATCAACACCCTTTCTGTGCTTCACCGTAAAAGACTTCACCACGAGCCGTCTCCACTTACAATTCTTGCCAATATTCCTCGTCGCACTATAAATCGTGAAGTTGGACAAAAATGACACCAATGCTGGCCATTTGGCAGCAATAAACTGCACGTGCAAGTCGTTAGGAAGGAAAATAACACCGTTCGTAAAAATAGAACAGCGCCCGTGATATCCGCTTCTGTGGTGTTAGCCCAAACGAAGGAGCCGTAGAATTGTCACTGGAACAGCAAGCAGCGCAATAAACCTTGCAATAAAGGAGGATGTTCATTTTTTGACGTAAGTAACGAGGTCTTACCCGATGTCATTTAAAACCTATGCATCCTTTACCCTTGGTTCTTGTTTAACCTTGGATGTCAAAATGTGGCAGAAACAAATGACAATGTAACAGTTTGTCACTCCTCCTTTGCGGATGTTGCCTTAACCCTAACCCTTCTCAATCCTTCACCTGTTGGAGGAATGAGGAGGGTTAGGGTTAATGATGGTAGGTATGAAATGAATACATGCAGGACGTATAATGCACGGTTTCTGGGATCTTAAATGTGGTTGGCTCTGAAACAATGTTTGTTTTAAGTTCAACAACCGCTAGTATACTGCTGTTGTAGCTACAACCATCCGTATTAATGTTTTTCTGTATCTAGTACAACTGAAATTGGATTTCAATAGACATGAAAGTACCATTAAATATGGAAAACCCCTTTTTTTTTAGATCTGTCAAATTCAAGGAGCTCGTCCAAAATAGGCAGTTCACCTTTTTTCCTCGGTGAAATAGAAAGGTAATCTGATTAAATGGCCACGGTATACAGCAAACTGTATTTTGGAGATGGGCGAGAAATCCCTTGTTAAATCAACTTCCAAATTCATCCGTCATCTTGAGGCAGCGACCGGCTGTTATTGTTGGGTTCTCTGTAGACTGGCTCGGTCTTCCTGTATGAAGCAATCCCGTATCCGAGCAATCAGCACAAATGCTCATAGGTATATATCTAATCAGATAGACTCATGGTGCGCCCGAGAGCGAACATTGGCCAAACGTACGGTATACACCCTGTCGATTCACATCAGCAATTAAAAACTATCTATTCTTCGTCAGCATATGCCCCTTTGAGAGGGTTTCAATTTTTCCCCTACCAGATCAGTGGAACAAGAGATAAATTTCTTCGGTCTTCGTGCCGGGCGATAATCTTGCTCTGTCAAAATCGGTTAGATTGGCAAGTGACTGTGGATAACAGGCAGTTAAATATCAGGAGCGTCATCGGTAGACGCCTCTAGATTTATTTGACGCCAAAAGATTACGGACGAGGCCCTATGTTTAAAGTTCTGTCGCGCCGTTTAATTTTGCCAAGGTCCACTTTTGACAACGCCAACATAAGTCAAGAAGTAATTCAATTATGCACAACGAAAATATAGACTGATTGTTATCGTAAACGATTTCGGAATAAATTGTTTGTACCCCGGTGGTATTACTTATCAGGGTCATGCATTGGAATCAAATTGTTTGAGGTTATCACTCCTGAAGCTTTGTTAAAAGTGATAACCCATCAGCCGGCTCAAACAGCCGACACAAAGACGGTTGTTTTTATTAGGTCAGCGAGCTTATTATACAGCGACCCAAATGATACACAGGTGGTATTCTCTGCTAAGCCCTATTGGCTCAATGATGGCGTTAGGAGACGTGCGGGGCGACTTCAGGTGTGCTGTCTGCCCGATTCCCCTCAAAACAGCGAAGGGAATCAAGCTGCCGTGATATGAAGTTACACTCGTCCGTGTCCGACGAAGCCGAAATCTGGCAACGGCCTTCCGCCTTGAGCGTTTCAAAACACGCGAGCAATAAGCCAAGAGTTTTAAGTTTCTTAAACGTGTTTCCCCCGCCCTGAGCGTTAGCACATGCTAGTCCAAATCAAAATGGGGGCAACGACAAACATGTAAAAAAAAATCCGTGGAAGGTGTGATTCAATTTTAGTATATGTGCAGGTGAAGCCAGCAGATATCCTTATCAATACAGCCAAACAGACTACAACAATAAGGACACTTTCCTTGATATGATATTTTTACAATAAAAGATGAATCAATTAATAAATCCCTCTTTACGTTCCATTGCATGCAGCAGATGCCTTACTGTACGTTAACATTTTTCAGAATTGCACGACACATGTGCCTCAACGTTAAAAAGGGCATGCGCAGAGCCCAAATACTCACCAGCAGTTAAGATACCTTTGGTTATACATTAACGTAAATGGGCATATTGGTGAGCTTATAGAATGTACTTTTCAGGGTCAATAGATGAAATTCTAGTTAGTTATACTCCAAGGTCAAATAAATTTATTATGCTGTGATTGTTTCCTTCTTTATGTGCCTACAGAAAGTGCGTCAACGAGTGGAGACTTCCAGCTATGAGTACCATATTGAGCCCAACTAATGTGTTAAGCCGCTAACCAAATTTAAAGCTCAGATAAACCGTGGATACTAAAAACAAATCTACGAATGGCTGAAGGCACTTCTGGTGGTAACTGATTGGGCGCTGATTTGTCCAAAGAGCGACGACCGGAACGAGGAGAAAACTGTTTATTATTGTACACAAATACTGTTGTGAAGCTTACCTTTGGAAAATTAGAAAGAATGACAAGTATGGCTACCACTTCCACCTATGACCAACTGATGAACTATTCAAGTAAAGGTGACACATCAGTTATGGCTCATCCAGGAAGGGTGAATTCGTCTACAGAGGGCGCCCTCAACACCACAATGGAAAATGCCTTTGCTGACGGGGAGAACAGATACCTGTTTTATAAGGTAAGATGCGTTAACTCGTGCGGTAAGATACGTTAACTCGTGCATTCACATTGTCCGAGAATAAACAAGTTGTCAAACAAAGAGGAAGGGAGGTTGTTTTTTTTCACTGAGAGAAGGTTTCCTTAGCTGATCAGCAATATCTCGTCATGATTTCAAGACAGACTCAAAGTTTTCCCCGACCAATCATCTCGGGCCATATCATTGGAGGTATTCGCCGTCGATTAGTACCAAAAAGCTGCGATTGGAATCGTGAAAAGTGGCATATCCTCGGGCGATGAAGGGAGACAAGCGCTGGTTCCCGCGAATGACCTTCAAGTCAACTACTTTTTTGTTTGTTTGTTTGTTTCCATACAGGATTTCCAACTAATTCTCCTGTGGGTCCTGCTTGCATTGATACTCCTTGGAAACTCTACGGTGCTCTTGGCCCTGTACGTTATCAGGCACAAAAAGTCAAGACTCAATTTCTTTGTTGCTCACCTGGCTCTCGCAGGTAGATCTGCCCATTCAAAACATCAGTTGATGGGCGCAGTCGGATGATCTCTGCTCTCGGTGATCTCATAAAATTCCCCGACTTTGATTCTCCTTTTCCCCTGAATGGGCCTGTTTGCTTCACAGGGATCTGGATCATGATCAGTGATACGTCGCTGGTTCACTGACGCTAAACCCGCCTAATGGGTGTAGCAAACCAGCGTTGGGAAGACTGATCGAGATCCAGGTCCGTGTGAAACACACAGGCCCAAGTAAAATGTAATCTACAGATTTCGGTTGGATCAATGAATTTCGTATTAGGGTTGATCGATGGTGCAACGCGATCTAGCGATTGCGCAGATCACCGATTGCGCCCAGCATCATATTACTGAACATTTTGTTCTGTTGCAGTGATGTTGTTTCTTTTACTTTGTATGATTACTCATTAAAATGCAACAACTATCAAACTCTTAGGCCAATATCTGCCAAGTCTAGAGAGAGTCTTTCACGACTCTATCGTGCAACTGATTAGGTCAAAGGTCACAAGCGATCATTTTATTGAAAACCTGATTATCTTACGCTTTTCATTGGATAAACCCCAAAGACAAGTTGGATTTCGTCTTTGGAATCACTAGACAAACCCTCGGAATGTCAACATGATTGGGTCATAGTTCACACTCTAAAATTTGCGTTCAACAACTGAGCACAATTATCTTGCCCTCGCTTTGTAAAAATGTTCAGTGCTAAATATTATATATATATTATACGTTCAATTCCTCAACTTTTCATAGTTCAGCACTGCCCATCAATTCCTTAAGAAGTTTAGTATTTTAACGTGTTTATAAACTGATTGCAAGAAATTGTTGAAGATAGTGGAGTAGAAGTCACCAAGTTTCATAGATAGAAACCAGGCTTCTAATTTTCCCACTTTCTAACAGGATAAGACTACAAGAGGCCACAAATATCCCTTGCCACTGTTAACTATGGGTTTGAAGATTTCACGTCATCAGTGACTGCAATAAAGCCTCGTGCTTCTCCGCAAGTTTGTGTGTGTTGTACACTGGTGCATTCCTAATATTCACTGGCACAAATCGATCGACATTTACCAAGCAGCCATCACTGACACTGTTTAATATTTGTAACGTGCTTCCTAGACCACTATCTACTCTAGTTTTACTGCTGTTCAATTGTAGTTTATACCACTCAATTTATGGAACTCATATTGAACAACAGTCATGATAATCACATCAACTAATTCACACTCACTCAGCAACAGAACATTTTGGGATTTTGGGTGGCTGAAGCAGGAATCATTTAGAAATCAAGCAAAGAATATATTGTTTCCAATACCCAAAGGCATCAGCTTCTATTTCCACGTATATTTCAACACCCGTGCTAGCATATATAGATTCTAGACTTCCCTACATGAAATGTACAGCATACTGTTGAAGCTAACTCTGGTTTTGCATTTTTTTTAAAACGATGGTAGCTCTAGATTTTTAACAACTATTTGAATACAATCCTCAGATTTGTTGGTGGGCGTTATCAATGCTGGGTTTGAGATCCTGTACAGATACATGGGCGAATTTCAAGCTGGGACAGTGTTCTGCAAGATTATACGCTATCTACAGGTAAGGCCACGCAATTTTCCAGTTCTAATATTATCGAATAGGCTATCTGTCGATAAAATGCGATTTTATCAAGTAACTTAAAAACATTCTGTGAGGATTGTCTTAGTGCCAAACACTTTTGGACGTGAATCATTAGGACTGAGTTAAGATACTGAAATGTATTGATCAATCAGCTTCCATGATGAGCAGGTAATCTCTGAAGATCGGAAGACAAAAAAGGAACTAATTTTAACTTTTCTTAATTGCTCACGCAGTTTTGTCCCTCCAAATGCAACCTAAACGTAATCTTCATTTTCTACCAATATTCAGGCATCATTAATTTGGTGTCTAATTAAAGTTAAGAGTGTATTCTACTTATTCTTGGAAAAAATTCCTTTTAAGCTATGTTGTGTAGCGGAGATATGTAACACAACTCAGCTTTGTTCTGTCTACTGGATTTTTGCCCTTAGAACTTTTTGATTTAATGGCAGTTTAAAGAGTTTATCTTGCATGTGTATGCAACCACTTAAATATTTGATTAACACACAACTGTTTTTGTTCCTTTACTCTTCGCAATTTCTTACTAGTTCTAAACTTAATGAAAACTGATGCCTTTTTCAGAAGGCATTTAGTGTAAAGGCCGGTTCATACTACAAGCGAACATAAAAGCCAAGCGACTCTAACGTCACGAAAGATTTGCAGCGAAAATTTTGCTCGTTTTTAAATCTGTTCAATTTTTGCAAATTCACTGTAAACTTGGCATCGGATTTAAACGAAGTCACCATTTCTGCAAAGATTACTCAGCTCCAGTCTGATACATGAAACAACTATTTCTGACAATTAGTTTCGAAGAAATAATATTACGAATGTGTTGCTTTTTTGTTGGGGGGTGGGAACAATCTGTAAACGCGGTGCGTGAGACTGCCTTGGAATAGAGGTGCATTGCTGATGGTCGCTATTTCTTCTCTACTACAGGCGTTCGTAATCAATGCTTCTTCCTTTCAACTTGTCGCACTAAGCTTGGACCGATTTTTTGCCATAGTGTTCCCCATGGACTTTTCTGGAAGCGGTATGTTTTCAAACACTCAATCAGCAAGCCCTTGTCTTCTGTGCAGTGCAGAAGTCACGTTTGTAATGGCAATCCCAGTTTCACTGTAACCACTGTTAGGATTGTGCTTCGCGAACCGTTGTTTCTTTTAACAGTATTGTAAACCAAATGCATTTTGGAACCAGGGCATTGCATCAAAATATCGAGCATAGAAAAGTTCACATGAAGCCAACTATGGGACAGAGAGGACAACCCCCCTGCCTTTTTGTTGGTCATTGTTATACTGGTATCTCAGGAATTCTTTTCAGACATCTATGGGGGGGGATGTGTTAAGTAACAATAGGCTGGAGTGTGTATAGGGATTGGAGTTGTTGGAGGGTGTACCCCTCTGTCCCATTTCGTGCCTGGTATAACAGATAATGACTTTATTTTCATCATATTTTAAATTCAAAGTCCATCAAAATTTATATTATAGAGCAAACCCTGATCTTAATAACAACATGTTGTTCATAGTAATAATGTTTTGAGGTTACATAGAGATAACTGATAGAGTGGACATATAAGGTTTTTCAACACTATAGTTTGCCCATGGCATTGTGTTTAAGCTCGTTAATAGTATCAAACTTGTCATTACATGGAAATACGGGAGTAAATGATGGGTGAAAACAATGGGTCAACCTGAAACCATAAAAGATTTATCCCTTTGGCCTATAAGAAAAACGCATCATTTTTCCATTGTAATGGTACCTGCATACGAGATATAACAGATCAGCACTAATTTCTCTCTCAGTCTAAGCAGACAAAAATACCAAGATAATGTAAAGTCATCCCTCAAATTTCTTGTTACGGTGTGCCACACAAGACACCAAGGGCCGGATTATCCAGGCTCTGCACCAAAGACCCACGAACAATTCGGGGTCTACGAAGATTGTAGGACCTACGAAGATACCACAGTGTGTTTCTCTGTTTGGATTTGGGAAAGTCTTCAGACTAGTTCGAAATGCGCCGCTGCAGTGCTTCCCAGTGCTTTCAAACCGATGTTGGTCCCTGTGGCCAAGTGAGGCCTGTGAAACACCGGCGCCTAGGGCCTAGGGAACTTTCAATCTTGCCCTGACGACACCCCTTTGTGAATATTTTATGCCTGTGCAGGCAAGCGGGCCAACCTTATGGCGGCCACAGCGTGGATTGCACCTTTCTTCGTCTCCATTCCATCAGCCATAGTCTTCGAAGCAAAAAATGATACCCGAGGACAGACTCACTGCTTCCCTACCGTCCTTCAGCCGGAATCTTGGCAATATAAGGTACAATACCACACGACAAGTACGTCCTAGCCAATCTACAGCCTTACCCAAATGTCAGCATTAAATTATCACAAAGTGGTGCCGAACACTTTAACTGTGACACTCATATCATTTTTTCATTAGAAAGAAAGTAGGCGATTTAAAACATATATATAAAGCCAGGTAGGAGCCTGCTGGGGAGATAATAGACGTTTGTATTCCCAATTATAAATGCCCTATTTTCGTTTAAAAGTAAACTCAAAGTCGAAAATCATTGCTTCATTATTGATCAGTGTTTTCAATATAATATTTGTCCCTTTTACGGAATGTCTCAAGCGTCATTATTGTTTCATGGCCACGATGCATTTCCTTGCATCGATGTCATTTCAGATTGCATATGAGCAAAGTTTCCTACTGGCTCAGCGAAACATTTTCGTCTCCGTTCGACCGTCATTCTACAATGAAGACCGTGACTTGTTTATAATATTGCAATTTTCATAAATAATATCATAATAATATTTGTAATTTCCAGTAATGAATGTAGAAGTTAGGTTTGCTTGCACCTAAGAACGCATTCTTGAAAACAAGGAATATGCCTAAATCAATCTTATCTGCTTTGTTTTAGCTACTTACCTCATCAGTTTAATGTGCTAAGTCCTCCACATGGCAACCATTCCTGTCAATGCACATCTGACATCTTCGTAACATGTCCCTTACTGCTCGTCTGATCATTTCAATGTCTTGACGGAGATTATTGACTTCTTCCACTATTCTTGCACGTTAACTCCTGAACATGAGCTGAGGGTGTAGTGAAAATCAGATAAGATTGATTTAGGTACATTCCTTGTTTTCAAGAATGCGTTCTTAAAGCAAAGGCATTTGGTATTCTGCACACTTGCATGGTCTGGCCTTGTTAATCACATACGCAAACTTGTCACAGTGCCGATTTCAGTACCCTTAACATCGGTCTAGTTTGTTCACTCATCTGTGTCAATAACATCACAAGCTGTATACCATTGCAAAGAGGACCTTCTGCCCTTTCTAGAGATATATTTCGCTTTCTATAAAGCAGTTTTGCTATTACAGTAATTTTTATCTCGGTATTTTAAAAAAAAATTACGGTAGTAATTTTTATTTCGGTATACTTTTTTATGTGGACACCCTGTACATGTATATGATCTATCCGTCGTCAGGAGACTGCAGAGGTTTATCGAACATGGGGAAGGTACCCATGTTCAATGCTGGCGATTAGTTCATCTTGGCTTCAGTCGATCTGGTGGTCTTCAGTCTGGGGGTGCTTGATGATGGCCAACTTGTCGATTTCCTTCTACTTTTGGGCTCTGTGTGCTTAGTAGTAAGGAGGTCCCTGCCAGTCTCGCCGATGTACACTTTGCCGCATTGACACTGTGGGATCCTGTACATCCCTTGCTTGTGCTGTGGATTGGGCCGGTCCTTTTTGGAGGTCAGCAGGTTCAGCACCTTTCGGGGGCTGTATGGTACACTCGAAGACCATGATTTTTGGAGGATGCACTGGATTGTTATTTATTTATTATTAATTTCTGACCATGTCAAGGGTCGTGAACAAGACCTCGGGGTCATTCTAAAATCACTCCCCGGATAAAATTAAAACACTGTACATATGCGAAAAGCTAAAACAACTAAAACTTGTTGCACTACGGGCAAAACAATAACACAGTTACATTTAAAACAAAAAATTAACTAAAACATAGACCACTAGAACAAATTAAAACACTTAAAACAATAAAGATTAATGACAATAAGAGAAGCAACAATTAACTGAAAAGGTTAGCAGAAGAAAATAAAAAGGTGTTAAAACATATTGAATGTAAAAATCCAAGCAGTAATAAAATACATAACATATCAGTAAGATGAATTTAAGCAAAAGAATAAAAACAAGAGTTTCTATGTCTGTCTGCAACAGAACATCGGGCTTTTCCGCATTTTTAAGTTTGAGAAAAATGCAATCATTGTGCATGCACGTTTGTCAGTGGAGAGGTAAACGAAATAAAAACGATGAGATATGCGGAAAAATATGAGTAAAAACTGTACCTGATGATATCATTATGGCGTCCTTTCAGTTTCACATATGATACATCCCAGTCTACCTACATACAAGAATTAATGGAATGGGATCTCATTTTTCATAGAAAAATATAAAATATTCCCCCTTGAAGATGACACTTATAATGACACCTTTAAAATGATGCCATATATGCCCATAATCAGGACGCGACCTTTAATTTAAACTCACAGACCTCATTGTTCCTACATTGGTCTCAAAATTCTTTAGATGTAAGACATTTACAGTATACGCCTTTCAGATGTGTTTCTCGACCTCTAGTGGCCCTATCCTATCATTTCTTGAAATCTCATCTATTACATCCTCAGTTATATGCATACAGAAATTAAATCAAATCAGACTCAAAAATCTCTAGTTATGGGACATGAAGTTGTATCCCTTTAAGATGATGTCATGTGACGTCTTAACGTAACCTTGCTAATCACGTAAAATACGTCCCCGTCCACAGACATGTAAAAAATTTAACAGAATAGGACTCAAACGTCCTGCAGCTATTAACAAAACTTTCATTAATAACGAATTCTACTTTAAGAATACCGAGTTGGACATCTGGCTCTAGAGATACTGGCCTGCAAGCATAGAGCTTTTTAGGAGTGTCACGTGACTTTGGTTGTTGCCGTGGCCACATCAACTCTTCCTAAGAAAGGTCACTTCTTTTTTTGTCACGCCTAATGGCCAATCCTTTGTGTAGCATGCTGATGGTGAAAGATTGGAAAATGACAAGGTCGCCCCTGTCAAACTGTCTTCATAAATATTAAAATGTAATAATACACGACCTAATGAAGTCATTATGATATCACTTCACAATCATCTGAAACGAAAGTTCTGTGAACCTTATGAATTTCATGGTAATCGTTTCATGCTTAAACAATTTTATTTGCTCAGAATATGCTTTGAAACAATGGTTAAATGTGACCAATTTATCATCGTGGCATTAACCCAAATTTCATATAACACAACGCTCGTTGGGTCCATTAATTTTGAAGATTTATTGATCTGAAGATATGCCTACTGGCTCACAAAGGATTCAACTTTGCAGGCATCTTATATAACCTCAGATGACGTCTCATCTCATCACTGTTGTCAGAGAATTTTAAAAAGTCATTCCTTCAAGAGATTTATCAAAAGAAGTGAACTGGGACATTTAAAGAAAACATGGCAGTACGTTTTGTTTAAAGAGAGTGCTCCATTTTGATCGAGCTCTTACTATATATGAATAGAAATTTGTGCACAAGAGGTAGTCCCTTCTCAGCCTGAAAAGGAGGGTAAAGTGCAAATTCATATGATGGGGGTTTCAGTTAACAAATATGACACTGTTCTTTTTTTAATTACCAACATGTTGGAAACTACTATGAAATTTGGCCACAAGGAATATGTAAAAAAATCATTCTGAGAATATTCAGTGAGGTTTTTAAACGTTCCTGAAATTCAAAAGTGGATGCTTGAGATCGTTTTCATGCTGAAGTCGAACAAAACAAGACTAAATTAAATTACAGATAATAAACAGGGAATATGTTTGCCCTTCACACAGCCTTAGAAGGTGTAAGCATCTTTAGATAATTTATTGAAAAACACCTGTATTTGCCAAACAGGAAGGATGCTTATAGTCACCGTAGCTTTCGCTGGGGATCTCTTTATATTTAATTCTTGCAGTGACGCTCATGAACAACATGGCCTAAATTGGATTTTCTTAATCACAATGTAGCATTTCAAAGTTCAATATTTCTTACAGCTATGTGTATTTTGCCAACAGAGTGTAAACAGTATGAACATGCATACCAACAGCAAAATGAAACAAGGACCACTGCACTTTCCACTTTTTCAGCCTGAGACACTCGTGACCAGCATTTGTTAAGTGGGATTCTCTTTTGATAGGCTGAAATGCAATCAATATTAAAGTCCATCATTTAAGACCTGCTATCCCAGTGGCTGCTATAGTGTTATCAATACATGTAATCCATTCAAAAACATTATATAAATGTGTATTTGTTAAGTGTTAATGCTACAAGGAGCGCATTCATTGGTGAAAGGTATTTTCAGGTGCTGCACAGCAACTTTGTCACTGGAAAATTCTCTCAGACAAAAAGGAATAATGTTTTTAAGAGCCATTCATAAGCGGTAATGTTACAAAAAATGGAGGATAAGGCCATGCAGACCGGTAAATATTCTTAAATGTGATCTGTAATCCGAACCATCAGTCGATCTTTGAGCAATCTTTTAATTAGAAAATGCCCATAATTCTGTCATAAGCATATTTCCTTCTCCTTTTTGTTGTAGAAGATATAAAAAACTGATATCAACTGATAGCACAAAAACATCATTAACTGTGCTCAACATGTAACTGACATTACCGTAACAGACACTATTTCAAGCACCACTGACCAACATTTTTCTATAAAATGGGTGAACACTGCGAAATACAAAAAACATTCACAATACAAAATTGCCATGCAATATCATACCTGTGTTTATACACTTTCGGGTTAAGATTTGCATGCCATCATGACTCTTGCAAGTGCATGTGCACTTTTTGTACAGGTATGCAATGGCGTGCAGCATGCATATGAGCCTTTTCCAAACTATGGGTGTCAGTACCGGCAAAACAATTGTATTCAAGGCAAAACATGCAAAACATTCGTGTCGACATACGTACGTGATGTGGTTCTTGTGCTGACATGTTATTGGTTGATGGCGTACAGGTTCTGTCGATCTGGGCAACCACCGCCGATCATTAGAATTCACTGCCGTAACAGACTAGTGCAGGAAGCTTGCCGTTGTGGGCTCAGCCTGCTGGAAATACATTTAACAAGGAACCTAGAGACACAGAACAGGATTTTAAAGTTAACAAAAGGACAAGTTACTTTTGAGCAAGCATGCGTACTCATTCTTGACAGACTTTTTGTCATTGAATTCACACAGAAGTGCTCCTTATAAAGACGTGTTCCTTTTACTTAGTACCAAAGCGATTTTGATACTTGGTATAACTGGTATAGATCTATTGTCTGCTTTCAACAAAGAGCCGACATCATGCCAACAATAATGATAAGTATTCAAAAATTAATAAGAAATAAATGAATGAGAATATGACAACGTAACTTTGCAAACATACTTTGGGGCTAACTGTGTACCTACCCAAAGAATTTCATGTCGGTCAGGCTTGGTCAAGTATGTATAATAAAATCGTATTTGTAATCGTATCTTTGATGACGTCATCATGATGCCAAATCATTTTCCAAATACTTCAAACATCCACTTACCCTACCCAATGAATTGCAAAAATAATTTTGGGAAAAAATTAATTTGTTCAGGAAATACCTCAAGAAGAAGGTTAGACAAGAAAAACTACAAAACTCGTAAGAAATCAGCTGATGACGTAATCGTGACGTCATTCAAATTTTCATCTATAACCCATCTTGCTTAGTATTTATACCAATATTTATTCAGATCAGACGTATGGTTCTGGAGTTATAAGTTTCCAAAGAATTCAACTTTAAGGAGTTGTCACGTGATTAGTGATGACGTCACTATGACAACTATCTTCTTTGAATTTCCCACCTAGAATTCATGCCAAATTGTTAGTTCACACCTGTCAGTCATCTATCTGAAACGTAGAGTGCGCTATTTTCCACACTACTGGAAAGGTACACACTAAGTCAACAAGGCACTGATTTTAATTGATGCGTTCTATATGTATTCGTGTGTCAGGTCTACTCTCTGTACGTCGTCTCAGCGTTCTTCTATATCCCGCTCATCGCCATCAGTACGTGCTATATCTTCATGGTGGTATCCATTTGGAGGCGGAGCAAATATATGATGGGGCGAATGCCAGACAAGGCAAAAGGACGGGCAAGCAAAATAGGTTGGTACTATTCTGAATATTTTGCATTCTGTACTCTCTAAAATTTGGTCCAATTGCCATGGATTGATTCTTCTCTTTCGAAGAAATGGGGACTAATTGCTCTGACCAATGGCGCCGGTAGCGACCAATTTATTTCAAGTAATATTTTGCGGGGGGGTGTGGGGCGCTTGTGGGGTAGCATACAGTTATGACCACAGTATGCGTCAGTGCGCACTCGCGATACGAAAGTTGGGTGTTAGTCGTGATCAGAGGTTGAGAGTGATATCACCACACTCGGTACAATTGGCGCTTAAGGATATTGTTCAACGATGGAGGATATTTGTGTCAAATTAAGCTTATGTGTAACTGAAAACACACAAAACCAAAGTAGCCACGTTTTTTGCCATCCAACCAATTTTAAACTTTACTTTAGAACCTCATTCCTGATTTCCCAGGCTAGATTATTTAAAAAGTCATCACCTGTCGAAAAATCGTCGTTGAGGGCAACATGCGAATGGCCAAAAATATGACATGATCCTACTTATGATCTAGGGACTTGATACATGGGAGTAGTTCCGGCGGGTTTTTTTAATCGCTCTGCGCGGCGCGATCCATGCAGTAACCATTCACAATACGAAGGCATCTGCTACGCGATAAAACATACTCGTCGGTGCTCTGCCGTCTCGTCATATGTCCTCCCCGGACGATATCAACGTTGCTGGAAACTGCATTGTTGATGGTATCTGCTTTCCAGTGTTCGGATTAAAATTGGTTTGGCAAAACCGCTGCGGTGTTCGTTGACAAGATTGTTCTCATCATGGGGTGAGAAGAAACCGACTGATCATCAGCGTCGCTGTCAGAAAGCACACCGACGCTGAGATTGGTAGGAATGGAGCCTTTCGTTATTGTGTACACGCTATACATTAGCAAACAGTCGTTGGAATTCCAACTTCCATGTGCTGCGTCACACTTTTACAGAATGGCAAAATGAAACCGACGACTGTTGTTCTTCTTTTTGAGACCTCAAAAACTGCGAACTTTTTTCTCGCACTGAGTTTGAAATACACGGTTTTAAAAAATGAGACTTTGTCTCTATGTCATATGGGTATACCGTTCAATATAAGACATGTATTGCAGAAAAATGTCCTCCATCGTTGAGCTACATCTTGATTAGCTTGTACCAATGATTCGCACGAGGAATTAACGCAAACCACGCCCAGAATTCGTGCTTGACATCCGTTCTGCGAGCCGGAAGAAGCGAAATACTGGGACAAGAAGGTGAATTCTCCTGACAATAATACATTTACAGTGCTTAATTTTTTACTGTGGTTGTGCCTGATCGAATCTGTGTCCATTGGAGATTGTTCCCACTTTCAGCGGCAGACGGCAGCTGTAACGATCTCCTTCAATAGCGCCATCTTGTGGCTGCTATGTATAAAAACTGCAAGACATGTTATATGTTGAAACAAATCAATTTGTGTTTTTTAATACTTTCATATCCGATTTTCGACTTAATGAATGAAAAACGTTGAACAGCGCTGCCATCTGGTACCCGTGCGGACATTTTTCTCTGCGTGAGACAATTTGCATCAAATTTTTATTTTTATTAATTTTTTTTACGATAGCCTGTAAGGAAAAGGAGCCGATGAAGCACCGGGCCAGCTCTAGAGGGCTCATTCCTAAAGCAAAGATCAAGACACTGAAGATGACAGTGTGTATCATTGTGGGTAGGTGTCGAATGCAAGTTAGCATACATGTAGAGATGCATGTACATGTACCTGTAAACATGTCATTGTTCAGGGCCACCTGTTGCTGGACGGCCTTAAACACATCTGGCTGATGTTTTTTTTTAATAATTATAAAGACCACCCATATGAAGGACTCTGGATCAGTAAGGAAAGGTCTTTTATCTTGGGTATTAATGAATTTAACGTCTGACGAGATGTGGTTGGGATACACCGCGCTAAGCGCTGACATGGAGGTAGAATTCATCTTTGAAAAGACTAAGAGTGAGGAAAATTGTTTGGTTTGCACTGTGCGGGGTTTTGGTCACTGGTCTCTATATAGGGGCTGGATGACCCGTTGAAACCGGGGACTAGACGCCTCTAGGTACCAATTCAAATGCAATGCGTGCGCGTGTTGAGGACTGACCATAAGAATTGAAACCTTAAGGCTTTTTTCATACAGATCTGGGTCTCGATTGTCAATCCCAACGCTTGTTCGCTTCATTCATTAGGCAGGCTCTGGTGCCAGTGAAGCAACGACGTGGATTACTGATTGAGATTTGGATCCGTGTGACACAAGCAGGCCCTTACAGGGGCCATTTTGTTTGGACCATTTTGTAAATTTACACAAGGGTTATCAATAGAAATATGGACTTTAAGGAACAAGGCTCCACCAAAAAGGGACAAGTTCGAATAACCACAATTCTCAACCAATGGTCGGTTTTCTCGGGTAATCTATAACTGAAATGTATACCGGGCAAAATCGACCAGTGCATGGTTAACAAATTGTCGGTGATCGAACGTGCCCGTGGCGGCTGACAACATGCACAAATGACGTGTGCCTGACTCGATCGAAATCGAGTCACACATGCATCATTTGTGCATGGCGATTGATGTGTGCGAAACCCGCTAGTACCATGAAGTATTCATTTTAGATTTTTTCTTTTTTTACATTTTTTTCAATGTTTGTTTACAGGGGATAAATTTTTCCCAGGGTTGTTTAGTAGCCCTCAAAGCCTACGATTTAATAGAAGTTTACTGGTGGTTAATGTTGTGATTTGACAATCAAACTATCATGATTTCATCATTACTCGGCCTAAATTTACTTTAAAAGCACGAGTTCTTCTTTTGGCATAGCAGTACAAACCTTAAAATAAATGAAGATTTTTTGTCTTATAAAACCGAACTAAAAAAAATATCTCGTAAAAGCAATATTTATTCCAAAAATAGAGAGTCTTTCTAAAAACTGATCTTGTAAAAATTATCTTGAAAAATACCTTGCATAAAAACGATTTTTTTCTTAAATTCACTTCACTTTTTAAAAACGTTTACTTCATGGCACTAGTGGGCTTCTTCAGACATGCAAGCCATCCAGTCGGGAAAAAAGAGAGATATCAGTGTTCATGGTGGATCAGGACATTTCTCTTTCCAGGCACATGATGGCGCTGTGCAATTTCCCCCATCATTTGCCATATTCACCTTGATGGGTTCCCACGTTTCATCCTCTGTATAGCTTTATCTTTTTGATGATGTATCCACAAAGTTTCAAAGACTTTTATTATTTATTCCAAATATTTGGTATCAGAAATGAGTTGAAAAATCTTCTAATTTAACACGTGCAATTTCAGCATTCATTTTGTGCTGGTGTCCTTTCTCCATCTTCTTCACCCTGGACGCCTTCGGTGTCATCTTCATCGACGAGAAAAACCTCAACACTGCGTTCCGTGCCGTGGCCTTCATTCAGAACCTGCCGTATCTCAGCAGCGCGATCAACCCCTTCATCTATGGCTTGTTCAGCACCAAAATCTGCCAAGAACTCAGGTGAGAGTCAGAGTTTCGTATCCACCGTGACAAAGCTGACGAAACTGGTCTGGAGCTACCCAACTGACTTAAATGTTTACCAGTAGCTTGCTTTCTTCAGCATGACCTTGGTGTTGTAGAACAAAAATAAAGATTAGCAAAACTAGGCGGGACATGTTTGTTTTAGTGACCAAGACGAGGTGATCCGGCTATATCGATTTTCAGCTGAAAATCCATTGGAGAGTTTTGACGCATGTCATCGAAAATCTATTTGATCTTGTTATTTGTGCAAACATGCGCATGTATATGAAATGATCAAATCAAGAGGAAACTGACCATCTTAAAATTGCCCTTTTAACATTTTATGGGATGTTGACGTCATTATTTTTTATCCTTCACGAAATAGTTTGTAACGAACAGAAGGTTTCATCTATTTTCGTGTTACGGCAAAAAATCTTAAATATAAAAAGGTGCTATCTGTGATAGCACGCCCTTTCTTTTGATGACGTCAGTAATATTTGCATAGTTTTGACCATGCCGCTCTCAACAGTTATATAATTTGGTTGGGCGAAGTGAAATCCTTCCGTTTTTTAATTGTAATCCCACATTCTTGCACCTCCATTATCCCGGAAGTCAGATTTGGTCTACCATTATTCTGAAGAATGCGTTACCTTATTTCATTTATAAGTTATAGTTGCAAAAATTTCTTTGAATTTTCTCCTTAAATCACGTGTACTTTAAATCTGACGTCATAATGACATCCCGAACGCACTCATGTGTACATCAAAGTTAATGTCATAACCAAATTTCACGTCAAGATTTTCAACTGATCGTAAGATACCGTCTTATGTATCGATCTTAGGATTGTTCAAGCATCTAAAATGTACCTGAATTTTGACCCTTGACTCCAGAATTAAACGAAACACTACTTCTACGTCCAGACACAATTGTTGCCCAACTGCATCAGCTTGTGAGATACTGTTAAATCGCTTGTTATTTGATACCTGATGACGTCATTGCGATGTCACTCTTGTATACACAACGAGGGATAACCGGGATGTCGTTTCAGATTTCATGTTTACGCGGTAGCCGTTTCGGAGAAAAGCCGCGTCAAGAGGGAAAAAAGGCGGGAAAGACAGACCGCTACAGATTCAATGGTTGACCCGCCGGAGCATTATCCCCCAAAATTGAACGAAAAACAAACTGGATGTTCGTGTCTTGATGTGCAAGAGAACAGAGAATTAGGAGAAGGGACGTATCAAAAAACGATAGAGGAGCGATGAACTGATGTAGAAAGTAGGCAGTCACAGTGAATACGTTTAACGTTGTTATTTTTATTTCTACCCACCAACTGATAGCGATAGGGTCGTGTTTGTATGTTGTTTCATTGTTGATTCATCTTTGTGTAACATGATCATTATTTTCAGTTGAGTTTTGGTTTATATTTAGCACCCATCGTTTGTCTTATTGTTGTTCTGTTCCTGTTCTCCGTGTGTTTCTCTCAGAGTGAACTGAAAAACCAACCCACTATTTCTACTTACCAAATCACAATCAGACGATTCCGAGTCATCAATTGGATGGCCACCAAGCTGCGGTGCTGTAAGTCCTGGAGACAGACCCGCTACGGCCGCTCGACGACGCTGCGGACCGACACCAACCTGACCGACATGTCCGAAGGGGCGAGCGGGGCCCACCGCGGTCACAGCCGGCCTATGTACGTCTACACACCCGCCAGGACGAGTAACAGTGACAACTCTAGGGAGATGCCCAACAGTGCCATGTGAATCGGTCGAGAGAAGGTGTCAGCGACAGGGGCAACATCCGAGGGTGTGTTGAGGTGGACACTTGAGTAAATTTGAGACGTTTTATGTGTACAGACAATTAAGTGTTCCTGTTCACGGTTGAGGGTGAAGGTTTCTTTTAGACAAATGCTTCATAGCAAAATCAATGCCGGGATAAAGTACGACAGGTGAAGGTTTTGAAAATTGATCACCATGCAGCCCGACTTTAATAAGTAGGCCTAAGTGATGAAAAATGTCGAGAGAGAGGTGTGTCATTCGTATGCATGAAATAAAGCTTCTGGAGAGTGGCTCAAGTCTTCTTCCCACTTCAAACTAAACTAGTCTGTAAAATTTTTACTTCGGTTTAAGAGCTGATGAATTCTGACACGCGCCATGACTTCAACAACGAGGTTGGTCGGTATAAACTTAAATATTGTTCAAAACATGAGGTAATATGAACACTGCCCTCATACGTTTAACTTCTAGGGATGAATACTTTTAGCGTTCTTTTAAGGATTTTCCTTTGCTACCGTTGACTGTTTTTGTAATTTAGTTTTGTGTGCTGTCTCCCCCTTGTGCTAAGTTGCGGCTAGTTTTCCAACGTTCATTTTAGTAGAAACTGTGATCCTTTTTTGTACGTAGGGCTTAGCAAGAAACTAACCAATGCACGGCGTGGAAAATGCCGTTTGGCTTGTGTAGTTCTGAAGCTCATATTGTGAGCTGAGTATTGTTTGACCTTTGCAGGTAAACACCAACTATTTTATCAAATGTGTTATGTGCCTGACTTGGTGTTTGAATTGGAGATCTGTTCTACAGATTGTTGTATTAATAGATGACCGGAGGCACTGTTGACTTCGTGTGTGCCTGCAGATAGTTTTCAGGTGCTTTTGTAAAAGAACTACTGTGCTCATATCTTGTCCATTTGAATTGATTACATTAATAATTGGAGACAATTAGATAACTACCACCTATATAGTAGTGTAGCTAATAACACGAATCACTGTTACTGTGGAGTTCTGTATGTCTGCAGGAATAGTCCTTTTCCACTACAGTATCTTGCGATAAACAGGACCTACAGTTGATAAACTCAACAGATTTATGAGACTCTAACGACAAAACATAATTAAGTCTTTTGGTGTAGACTTTTAATCTATTTTTATAATTCATGACTTCTTATGGATATAATTGTTTAGATGGTATACGTTCATTGTATAGTGCACCTTATAATGCGTGGAATTGGAATATACCTGAATAGATATTTTCAAAACAAGCAACTGAGGTCGGCCTTGATTTGAGGTCTATTTGGCAACACTTTCATTTTAGTTTTTACTGTTTTCATACCTTTGTTCGGCACTCCACGTTTTAATCTGTCAGTTGTTCATATTTCGCTGTGCACATTCTATATTCGTTTCTACTTTTGATGTGTAAACAATCGACAATATTACACAGACGTATTCTAACTAATGAAAGTAACATCGGTAGTATTGTCTTACTCTTAAATGACACTTGAGTCAGTGACTTCAAATGTTTACTTACGTCTACTTATGAATTATATTTATGTTCAGTTTAATATACCCACTTGTTAAAACTTATATTGCTATGTAAAGCTCACCTTCCATAACATATTGTGAAGGATGGTACTGAATGCTTGACTACAGAGTGGGGAAGTTCTTCCCCGACTGCTCCATAGCCTAGGTACGAGGCTCATTATTCATTTAGAGGTTCTTGTCGTGTTTTCATCGCAATCATGATTTAGATATTGCGTTTAGTTACAAAGAAATGATTGGTATTTTGAAAGCATTGTGATAATCATTAGCGTAGTGTATAGACTTTCATACTTTGGCAGAATAGCAGTGGATGAGGACCGCGTGTTTCCTAAAGCTATCTTAACTTTCATTTTCCATTGTTTTTCAATCAAATTAAAAGTTGAACTTGTTTACTTTTTAAAGCTCTCAGGTTTGCACTCTGCCTAAAATGGTACAGTTGGCGAATTTTAACGAAACAAGTTTATTACGCCGTGCGCAGTTGTTGACCTAAGGTTGTATCTTTTTCATTGATACTTTGTTGATATTGGCTGGATTTTTTTCAATGTCATCTTCATAGACATTGAAAGTTGCCCACAGAAAATACATTTCTTACCATTTTTCGGTCATATAGTAAAAAGCACATGCTTTTGCCAATGGGTAAAATACACATTGGACCTACAAGTCCCTGTCAATCACTGTGCCTAATCGTACAAATTCATTCTTATCAAGAACATTTATTAATTTATGTATTTATATATTTAATCAGAGTTTCGGAACAACAACCACATTAATTTTGCACCATGACAATGCAACTGAAATTTTCAACTTGTCAATGACATCACAACGTCTTGTTATCAAAACAGATAAGACCAGTTTACTGGGGGTTTTATCAACAAATAACAGAGACGCGTACGGCAGCATATTACTGCCAACGCAAAAAAAATCTATCACGTGTAAACAACTTATTATCTCATTTAAATGACTTATACTTTCGTTTAAACAATTTTGCTATATCGTTTTAACGACTTAATATCGCGTTTAAACGAGAGAGCTATGTCGCTTTAACGAGAGGATAAGTCGTTTAAATGAGATAATAAGTCGTTTAAACAAGATAAAATATTTTTTCGCGTTGGCAGCAACACGCTTCCGTAGATACGTATTATATCCATTGCATGGATGTTTCACTGAACATTGGTGGTGACTTGTCGCTCACTAGACTGGCACCTAGTCCCTTCATCTATCTGTTGATTCTTAGCTAGATGTGCAAATGTCTTGACACGGAATAGAGTTATGTTCTTACATAACTGTAACATGCAATGTGACACTAAAAACGATATGAAGAATATTGTATCAGGCAGAATTGTTACATATAGAACTGAAGACAGTTTTCACAATTTATTTCTAAACACGTTGTTAATACAAGTGCATTCCTTGTAACAATTTCAAATTATTTGGAGCAACTTAATTGCACATGTACAAGTGTCTCTAATTGACACCGATGTCAAATTCATCTGGACTCTGGGATTTTGTTGCCAGGTCATATTCCAAAATACAGAGGCATACAGGCAAAAGACAGGAGGGATTGCACTGTCTAAACTTTTACACAAGCTTCCACCAATCTATTTCAGGTAGTAAAAGACCCAGAAATAAGGAAAAGCTGGTGAAAAATAGGATTAACGCCCGTGTTCGAAGAGCCCGATTGTTGATTCCGTCTTCCCTGTCAATTCAGAGGGAGTCACAGGCTCAGACTTATCCTGAAGCATGGTCGGGGCAGTCATTCTGCACGTGGCAGAAGTATAATTGAGTCATTCACTATTCATTCAAATGGCTAATCACCAGTAGCAGGTAGATAAACGATAGGACAGAATGATAGCTTTTCGACTAATGACAGACTGATGGGTTTTTCACCGTTCGTTTCAGTCGCTTGCCACCTGACACGAGTATTAGCCTCGAGCAGAAGCACCCCCCTCATCGGTTGAAAAGAGCCATGTTGGTGGGGGGTGTTCGTTTTGTTGGTAGCGTTTGTATTTCATAGTGGTTCATGATCAAGCGAAGGGCAGTTACAGCCAAAGGAGCCTCCGTTGCTGGGAAGATTGCGCCCTCTTGGTCCAGCTCGGGGTGGATAGATTAATGTGATGTAATTCCCAAACTAACTTACCTCCAACCTGTGACAACTGCATAAGTTGGCATTACGATTACAGTCAGGTGAACCAGTCGGATGCATTAATGCATAGTATAATTCAGGTCAGACATTATGAATGATATTAATGCGAAAAAAACATATGAGAATGTTTATGTTATTAGAAATTCATATATCCTATTCATAATATGTACAGATGTGTATAGTGCAAAATGGTGCCCAAAAGAGGCTACTATATAACTATGTAAATACAGTAAGGATATTGGTAAGTTTCCGTGAATTAGCATGTACAAAACAAAATTTTAATATTACTGTTGATGGTTGCAGTTTAGTAGAAAAGATTTACTTGTATGCTATACACTAGAAGAATACATGTACAATAAAACGTGTAAAAATACGGCGTTTTATTGGTTACCACTTTTCCCTTGAATTCCCCCCCCAAAAAAAAAAAAATTCTGTTCACATATACGTCGATTCCTTTGGCATAATATGGGCGATTCACCCTAGTGCGTCACCAAGAGTTTGCAACGCGTTGACCAATCACAATGTGTGTAATCTGTCGACCGAATGCGCGTTTGGAAAAGTTCGACAGAGTTCGCGCAATTGTGATTGGCCAACGCGTTGTAACCTCTTGGTGGCGCACTATTATGAAATACCTGTGTTAGGGTTAGGGTGACATGTCTTCGTCGCCATCTTCCCTACTCTATCCTTACAGTGACAAGTCGCCATTTGTTCATCAGTTAACCCTGTCTGAATCAAGATTTAACCTGACCGCTCAGGTACCCCAGGCTGAACGTACACTACAATGGTTATTTCGAAGTTATCTAGTCATTTTGCAAATGTATGGTTATTTTCTGAACAAATACTGTCATATAAATGTATTATACAAGGCTTATCAAAATAAAGGAGCCGAATTCAACTGCAGTTTGTAAGACAACTGCAGATTTCTTACTAAGCATTAGATGTCTCCAAAAAGGCCTAAATGTCTTCTTTCCTTTGACAATGCATTGTTGACCAGCAGGTGAAATTTTACACTGTGACAAGTTAGCATACACACCCATTCAAGAGCACTTGCTTGTGTTTGCCTGAGCATATTCAAAATGTGCATTATCTACTCTATAGTGCATGCTAACCTGTCGCAGATTATATTTCATCTAATGGTCACCTGCTAACCCTAACCTGCTGGTGAACAGTACATGGATACGCCCTGCATGATAATGCTACAAATATAAGAGAGCCAAACAATGCATCAGATAATTCATCTGACAATCAGTACATCAATACTTGATGTGTCTTGTTTCCTGTATGTCATGAACGAATTCCAACACCTTTTCGTTGTCACTCGCTGAAAGACGGAAACTTTCAAACTGACTCGTTACCAAGTTCACATTAGCACGTTGAATTGCCCCTTCCTTAGAAAATCCCTTGCCTCTACGTGTCCCCGTTTCCACAAATACTCATTGCCTCACCTTATTGCTTCTTTTCATCTCACACTGAATCCTATTGCCATTAATATGGCCTGTGAGACCTTGTACCACATCGTTCTCATTGCAAATGATCCCAGCAATGCATGCTGCAGAAGCCCGCTCGTATTTGATATTTTAAATGATTTGCATACCTTCTAGAAATATCACTTTTTGTTTTGAATGTTTGGCGCCATCGCTTTCTTGAGTTGCGTTTTCATATAGCTCTTCTCGATGAGGTAAATTTGTTTACCACAGTGGATGCTCAAATAGAAATTATGTGTCTTTCTCTTTCGATTACCTCAACAGCAAGGAACATGGACATATGCATTGTATACACACAAGTTACACAAATTCCCAATAACCAGGACTTTTACGCTATTTAAATATGTATTCTACCATTAAACAAAATGTTACTGTAAAAACATATTGTCAACATGGGTAGGACTTGTTTATTACAGGTCCCATGTCTAATACACATCAATTACGTATAATAAGATAATGTTAATAAGATAATGCTGGTAAGTTGGAACGCCTGTCCAGACAAACCCAAGTTTGAACGCTCTAGATCTCTGCGCCTGTTTTATTAAGGCAAATTCACGCATTACCACGGTGACATCTCTGACACGGACGCCGTGTCCTGTAAGCGGGCAGCTGCCACCATCACTTGACCCGTCGTGCTGCACGTTACCACACAGTGACGGCTGGTGTGCTCTTGGTGAGAACGACATCGATGCCTTTCCGTTTCTACGCTTGAACAGGTTCTGGCAGCCAAAGCCTGCTGGATGACCCAAAAGGCGATGCTGGAGAATAGAGAGTAGATCCAAAGATCGGTGCTACGCGTTAGGCTTACCACCATAAAGGAAATGGTGAAGAAGACAGCTGTGAACACAAACAGACGGACGGATATTAGACCTTCAGCGACAGGCTATTGATATTGATATGAGGGACGTCTTTACAGTACTAACATCTGCCAAAATGCGCACATACCCAATGAAAATGAGAAGAGAAAGTCTCAGCCCTTCTAAAAAGAAAAATAGAGTCACAATATTATACTGGATAAACGTCCCTTTTATCCCAAATTTTGCTTTAAGTAACAATTCTTTCAATTTCATGAGAATTGCAAATGCTTATCTTGAAATTTTTTTTAACTTCGGAGCACGCATAAGCAAGCTTGTCATACTGGTCCTCTTCCTAGTTGTTGCCTTTCTGCGGCAACAGTGCTATGTGTTTCTTTCCAGAAGACTTTTTTAGTTCTTCCACACGGCCTAGCATACCATGCCGTACTTTACAAGAAGCAAGCTTGGAACGGCTGATGAGCAAGTCCCTCGCCATGTTAGAGAGCGTGACGTAATCATTCAAAGCGCCATCGCCGACAAAGTCCGCTCTGCAGTCCATCCACACCACACCAGAACCCTTGGACCGATTTTGAGCCTCTAGAACCATAAAGCGGCTTGCTGCATACGGTGGATATGATCCACGCCGCTGCGACGGACCATGTGTCCGGCTTAATAAACACCATCCAAACTGAAATTATTGTCGTTCTGCAGTAGACTCACAAAAGCCATCATATTGATGAAACGTCTTCTGCACAGTCATCAGATGAAGTGGTCTTACTAAAAAAGGTTAAACTGGAAGAGTTAAAAGATATCGAGATAAACACAGCTGTTTAATTAAGACCTGTCAAGCACGTACGGACACTTCCCTCGCATTTTACCAAGGTGTCAAACTGATCTTCATAACTCGTACCTGTCTTGCTGCCGCCAGGGGTTTACATTTCTTCGCAGAAAGTGCCATAAGCTTTTTTTATACTGCTCAGTAAAGAACAACCAAAAGAATAGTGCTGGAAATGCCGTTGAAACTCGAGTGGTCTAGTAGCCCAGTTTACACCGAATACCGAAATATCAAGATAGTATAGCTTTTGCTTTAACCATAAGAGAATTATAATGTTTGGATATGAAAACTTTTCCAAATATACTTCATGTAAAACTAATTGCTTTTATGTCAAAGAATTTTTCAAGTCCATTTAAATCGACTAAACTATTGAGAGATACAGATGGAAAACTACAGTCCTTACTGTTCAAACTACAACCGCAAAGCACGGTTCCAATCATTGGATATTTGTCAGGTCTGCTGCCCTCACTACAGAATTTGTCTTAGGATAACAGAACCTTTAAATACAAATTCAATGTGACAAAAACGAACCTGTTACACTCGTCTACAGGTTTTAATCTACTTTTGTACATACAATGTATAATATTTGTTCTGTAATTACAGTGATACACATTCATTCATCTCTCTCTACAGTTGTATACATACATCTTACCACATACACGTAGCACATTAATATGGTCAAAATGGTATTTTCCTGTTATGAAAATACAAATTGCAAAATCTTGAGTCAGCCTTGGTTTCTTGTTGGGCTATTTGTTTTCAACGTTTTCAATACGTCGGCTCATCCGTATTTTAACTCGACACTTTGTGCAAATAGTCTGCAGCAGCCGCTATAATGTGGTCAAATTGCCGAAATTCTTTGCTGACCCACTTGTGCGGTTTGAGAGGCGAGATTTGCGCGTGAAAAGGTGAGAGTTAGACGGATGTTCTTTATGAACTACACGTTTAAAAAGTATTCAGGTGGGACTCAAGATGGCGTGGTGAGTAGAAAAAAGCACAATTTTCTGAATCAAATAATGTGAAATCTGTCCCTTACTGCTATGTGAGGTTCTGCATGCATATGTGACGAAATTTATCAACCAATCAGTTCCCAGGAAATCCATGTGCCTGGCGGCAGAATCGTTCTGATAAAATTTGTCAGCACTTCATAAAGGGTGCGCCCTGAGTCAGCTAGAGAATTTGTGGATAAAAAAGTATATTTTTGAGTAGGCCATAAACTAAGCTTTCTGTAGAGTGCCGATTAAAACGGTGGCAACATTGAAAAATAGGAAATTTTGCCGCGTTTTCGGATGCAAATTTCTTATGTTGTGGGACAGCAATTATCATGTCATTTTACCACATTTTTGACAATGAATGGGATTAAATCTAGCATTTTAGGAAAGATACACTCTTCAGCTATTATAGAAGTCGACGATTTTGACGGCATCGTTCTTAGCAGCAGCGAAATCTGTCGAATTCTTAACTCAATCAAGACATGCAAGACGTGGTCACGCACGCAAAAACATGCATACGTAGCAAAGAAACCACTGAGTGCTGCAGACTGACTTCAAATACGATGTAGCTTCCAAAAATGTTACGTACACAATTGTGATTAATTATAACATTCATAATAAGAATAATATAATCTTGCGTTGAATATTGACTCGATTTTAACGCCAGGATGATTAAATAAATTTTAACAATAATTATTTTCTCATGAAATACATTTGTGTTAAAACGCAACTAACTATCCTGGTAGTTACAAATATTACTATATGAAACTCATTTAAGGTGAATTTACATAAACTGTGGCTACACCTGCTTGGAAATGGGGAGAGGGAACAATCTCCACTTTGTACGTCTTTGTGGCGAGAAATCTCCAAGTCGGGAGAGTATAAAATTTCATAATCATTGCCCCTACCCCTAAATCTGCTTCCTCATTTGCAACAACAGTAAGCGACATTCATTTCGTAGACATGCAATTTCATTTGTAAAAAGACGCGGCACATGGACAGCAATTGAAGTCTCGAAAGACATGTGAATTGTGTAAAACAAAGGCTATATGTGTCTCAGAACCCAATCAGTTTACATATTTACAACTTTTGTCATAACAGTTGAGAATTCATTGTTTTTGCTCCCTTGCAAAGTACCACTGTCGTCGCCGAAATGCTCCAACACTGTTTCTATGGAAAGCACATTCAAATTCGGTTTGGAACAATTATGAAAAGTTGTTTGCATACACTGTAGGCCTATTTTCCGATTAACATATACATTTCTTCTATATTTATGGACAGTTCCTTTTGATAGTGTTTGAATTTTTATCATTGTCTTGAGAGTTGTGATCAATGCAGGAACACATTTATAATATTTTCGCTAATACAGCCATACACTGTACACATTTTACCGATCATTTAATGATATATTCAACCGACAAATCTTAATCATCCACTTTGTCCCTAATTGGGGGAACTGCTCATTAACACATACATCCTAAATAAAGAAAACATTATGAAATGGCAGCACAATAAATACTCATGGGGTGGACAGTGCCACTGTAGTTTAAACATTTCAGATTTGATGATGGCCTGGTCATTTTGGGGCAGTTTGACGATCTTTTAAAGTAAATGGGAACTATTGTTTGTATATATACTGTTTTTTGTTTCAAATTAAGGAAATGTTGACTTCTGTTTAATATTTCCATTACAAAACCCTAAGCAGTGTGCTAAAAGGGTGCACCCTGGATTTTTCGTTGAGGGATCAGACCGGAATCGGAAGTTCAGTTTCATCCTGAAGCAAAAGTGCATGGCAGTCAGATGTCAATGAAATCACAGGACAGAATATGACTGTCAAGGGGATAGTATGCCACAAAAGTGGCAGTCAGATGTCAACGATATCACAAGACACATTACAACTTTCAATCGCTCGCAAATAGGCAGGAGTGTCGATTTGAAAAAGTTACCAGCGAGGTATATCTTTAGATATTCACATATATTTACGTAATAATTAGTGATGGTGTTCATACTCGAAAACGGAGCCTAAAATAGGCTAATAAACAGTGCATTAATATAGTGACATTGTTAATATATTTTGCCGTTGACGGTTACAGTACAAAAGACAAAAATTCACCGATACTATACACTAGAAGAATACACTAACACATTTTTTTTAAATCGCTTTTCAGCAACTTTTGCTTGATGATCATAATAACATCAACTCCGTTTACATAATTTGGCAGGGAATATGATCTGGCAACGACATACCAAAGCTACTCTTGGCAAAGTTTGTCAATGCAAAACTTAACCGTATTTTTTTTCCAGTGCGTATAATAATTTTACAAAAGTAAGTGATCACTTCGCAAACGCTGTAATGTATCGCACTGTGTATGGGTGTTTCTACAAAAATGTTATGTACATGTTTATATATAATTATGTGTCGTACTGCTAAAGAGTAAACACTATTATAAACTTGGGATATGTGTTGTGTCTTGTTGCTTTTTCTGTTGTGAGAGAACCTCAACAATCAATGGAAAGAGAATCCGTAATCGGACTAGCTTGAAATATGCTGTTCTTATATTCGTGTGTGTTTCCTTTCGTTGGCCATCGCTGAGTAACATAAATTAATGATGTGAGTCGGTGTCATGTCATATTCCCGTTCTGTGTTATCTTTCTTTGTTTTTATGCAGTGTGTCTTTCTACATGTCCTTATTTCCTTATATCACATTAACTGCCATTCTTTCCCTCCGTTCTGTAATCTCTCGTTTTTCGCTTTCCAGAACCCGCTCGTGATGCAAAGCGTGGGTCCAATCACTGCGCCTTGAGAGATTTCAGCTTTCGGGAGCTTTCTTCAGTTGGCGCCCTCGCGTCGGGTTCGTATTTCCTGCATTTTAATTCAGCCCCTCGTGACACGAACGAAGGTGTTCGGTGTAAAAGGTGTTCCAACACCGAGAGCGTTTTATGCGCTTTCGATAATCTGCATGGCGAGGAATATGAACGTTAATTAATCAGGGACGGATGCATCCCATATGCACAACTTATCAAGAAACAGAACTTACATCTTTTAACACTGAAAAAAGAAATTTACAGTTTTGCAACTTAGGCCTACAATGTATGACATTCTAGTCCTATGCTTTCTAAATGTGTACGTCGTAAAACTAAACAGCAATAAAGTTATTAAGCCAATACAATTCGCAAAAGCCCTGCTGTTTAAAGATAAACCTATCATAAACACTTATAACATCCACGAATTTTTTAATTACACTGTAATGCAAAAATCACAATAACGATCACATTATTTTCAAGATGAAAATAATTAACGATCACATTACTTCACTTCTCCTATTAATATTTTCCTCTCTAACAAATTAGCACATCTTTCATCTGTCACAAAATGTAGGACCCCTGACTGCTTATCATCACAATAAGTACCTTCGTTTGGCGTTGTGCCAAACTTGAATTATTTTGGTAGCAGCAGATCTGAAAACTTGTTTGAATGAATCTCTATCACCTTCGAGCCTGTTTTTCTTTGAGTAACAGTTGAGTTTGATACCGAAACCAAGATGAAGAGATCAATTGTATCTCAAGTTTCGGTATCAAGCTCAACTGCTACTCAAAGAAAACAGGCCTGATCTTTAATGCTATGAATATGATATTAACAGAAAATTGTGCTACAGGAAATGATTTCATTACACCTCTACACAGATAAAAGATAAAGAGGCAAAAGCCGAAGAGAAGCAGGACGTTAGTACAGCCGGGGAAACATACCATTTACACCTCACTTTTCTTCGGTTATCAGTCGGGTCTCCGCCCTCAAAACCATTCTGTTTAAGGACTACAAAACTGGGAACTGCCAGATCTTAAAACCTACTATTTCACGAGGCTTTTCCATGGAATCTATTGACTTAGGTCAGAATGACGGCCTTCTCTGTCTCAAGGCTAATGCTCGATGAGTTAGGGTACCGGAGACATAATGTGGCTCCCGATCACACCTACTCCTTTACAAAAACCCGCATCTATGCATCAACACAGGTACATCTCTGACACAAAGTGTCTTGCCAACACCAACTTGGGCAACTGCCGCTGTCATTGGGCTGAGCTGGTACCCAGCCGTATCAATGATATTGACAGCAAATAGCTATCGTCTACTAAATAAGGTTTGACAGATATTTCCCTTCGAAATTTAGAAGAACAACGCTCATGTCGGTTTTTTTTTTTAACAGTCAGCGTAATAAAAATTGTGCCTTTGTTTTCCTAATTGTGGTGTGTATTGGAAAATCAACAGTTTAAGAGAAGTGATTGATACATGCCAAATATAGGTTTGGAAAATTTTGGCGAGTTTCGGGCATTATTCAGAAACGTTTCAGACGCTTCAACGTGGCGGCTACCAGAAATAAAGATCACTCAAAATAGTCGTATTTGTTTAGTCTGAGTACCAGACTTTCCAAGGTGCCTACATGGAGGCAGCTGCTGTGCCGGTGGTCGACACGTAGCGACTGGAGTTATCGTCGTGGTGGGTCCGGTCTGAGGACATGCCGTTTTTAGGCCGGAACAGGTTCAGGCAGCCGAATGCCTGCTGGATGTCTCGCAATGCGTTACTAGAGAACGCAAAGTAGATCCACGGATTGATGCAACTTGTCAGGCTCACCAGCAGTAATGAAATGGTGAAGAAGACAGCTGTGAACGCAAACAAGTGATAAAAACACTTTTACGGCAATATTTATTGCTATTTTCTTGCGATCATAACTTTGTTGTGCTATACGTTTAATAAAAACACACAGACAGTTGATGAGATCTTCATCTTGGGCTCCATCTCTGGCTCCAAAACCCCCATAATAAACCTACAATTGGTTTCAACATCAAAGGAATTCAGGTATTCCTAGTGGTGGTGGTCCATAGCTTTCGTCAAAAATATTTGAAAGAACTGGTTTTTATTCTGGGATACCAAAAATTACCTCAAAACTTAAACTGATTTCACATGATACCTATACCATACACGGCATAAAAGTACATTGATTTACTTGCCTTCATAGTTAATCTTGGCCCAGACAGACAACAGCTGTGCGATGAAGAATGGTGCCCACAGCGTCACATACATTGTCACAATTGTTAATGTCATCTTGACAGTCTTGACCTTGGCACGTGACACCTTTCCCGCCGCCCCATGACGCCTATACAGCATCTGCGGCTTTTGGTCGGACGGGCCCTCCCTCTTGGTGGCGCTCTTTTGCTGCAGCTCCATGTGCTCTGGGTTGAGTTTATCTGACTCGTCCTCTTCCCAGTTATTGTTGTCCTTCTGCGGCAGCGCTGCAGTCTGCTTCTTGCCAAGGTACTTGTACTGCCTGTCCATGTTCATCCACACGGTCAAGCATATCAGCCCGTACATGACGGTCAGAAGCAAGCTCGGTATGACGTACACCGCCATGCTAAAGAAAGTGATATATGCCACCACCAAGCTTTGACTTGGGAAATTTCCGCGGCAGTCCATCCACGCCACGCCAGGACCCTTGGTCCGATTTTCCAGCCTGAAGAACCAGAACTGAGGCATGCTACACACGGCAGATATGATCCACGCTGTCAGGACCATCAAGCGCATGCGCAAGGTATGGTTGCCTCGCAGTCCCATCAGCGGGTGACATATGGCCAAGTACCTATCAATGGCCGTCATGACCAGGATGTAAGTCGATAGGTAGACTGGAAAGAGCTGGAAGAACTTGACAATCCTGCACATGAAGTCGGGACCGTAAAACTTGTAGGTGATATCCCAGATCATTTGCGGCAGTGTGTAGAAAAACGCCACCATCAAGTCGGCAATGCAGAGGTGGATAATGAAAAAGTGCATTCTGGAAAGACTCTTCCGACGGCGCCACAGGACGGCAATGACGATGGAGTTACCAAGGAGAGCCAGGAAGAAGATGGAAGCGGACAACAGAATCTCTACAGTGGCAAGTTCTTCGTTTCTTTTGGGATACCACACCGAGGGGGCAGAGGTTGAATTCCAGACCAGTTCATATGATACATTCCCGTCCTCTGAAGCGTTTACGTCCCAAATGTCGCTTGTATAAGGTGTGGTGCTTACCGGTAGCGAACTCTCTGGTGGTGCCATTTTCTCTCGAGACTTAAGTGTAAATCGTAAGCAAAGAGCAGAATTCAATCACTTGCCGCTAAGCTGGTTTCTGTCAGGCTTAGTGATACCAGAACCCTTGAAGTTATCCTTCCTGCAACAATAACTCACGGCAGCCATGGAAAGGACTAGACTCCTTTTACGCAGTGTCGTCTGATCGAATGGCAAAACTGCAAGGGGATGAAATATTAAAAACTCGATAAATGTTATCGATCGATAACTTCTAATACATATTCTAACCGGAGACTCCACTTTTTATTTTTTAAAAAGCAACAGGTGTATAAAATTCTATTGACATTTTGGGGCTCCATGAGTCTAATTTCCTTCACCCTGTGGTATCTCTGACCCCTTTTGTTATTTTGTTCTATTGATCGAAAGCATTCTCCGCCAACTAAATGCCAAAGAAAATGTAGAAACTATACAAGTCACTGACACGACAAGGTGTGATTACATTATCTTTCGTATTCAGGGAAAGACCTGTTAAATATCGATTCGTTGGTTTCGGTTTACAAGTAATAAACGGATGTACTTGTGCGTGACAGGTAATCGAATCGATTACTTACACGTGTTACCGTGCGCTCGCGCCTTTTTCAGTTCCCAATGGTTATTGAATGGATGGTGCATCAAACCACCGACACTTCTAAGGGTTTTTTCACCTGGTTTTAAGGAAATGAAACCAGGCCAGCATGCAATAGCACGTCTAGTGTTTCAAGAGATACACCTACCTGCCAAATGAGGTATTAAATCAGTAGCGGATGGGACTGGGGACTCACAATGAACAGAGGCTTTTGGGGCGTAGCATTTCACTTGACAAATAATTCAAACTTTCAAGATATTAACAGAGGGGAAACCAAACGGTTTGTCCTTCCACCATGTAATACGCTAGTCACGTTTTCCTAGGCTAACATTGCCAGTGACATGTGACGGTATTTTCAACGCTTTAGGTGAACATAATGAGTGCCTGGGGACATGTGAACTGAGTTATTTCCTTCTATCATCGTAAGTCAATCGCATGCAATATTTTTGTCAAAGACTTGGGGACAATAACAGGAAAAATATTAGTTTTTCCAGACGCAAAATAAAACTTCCATCAGTTATGTTCATTTTATTTTCCTCTCTCACGTTCATAATTTACCTCCTACGGTAGTGAGGCTCGGCCCGTATTAAATAGGAAGGGAGGGGTTCGTTTCAGTGAGAAGAGCGCCCTCTCCGAATCTGCATGGACATCACATTACATGTATACCTTCGAATGTCTTCTTTGAAAATCAGATCAAAGAATACATTCAATGATATTTTGGCGACAGGATGACGCATGCCTGCTGATACAAAAAGCAAAAAGGTGGAGAAATAAAAATCTTGAGTGTCTCCAGGACAAAATTAGAAACTGTCAATCGCTCATATTTTCCTCTAAACTGCATTTCGAAATACGGAAAAAACTTTGTCGAGTCTTAAGATCCCAACTATCGCATCTGAAATGCGAGATCTTATTAAGTAACAGGAGCTAGGCGCATTTTATGTCTAGGCTCTGACAGCACTTGAATATGTGAAAATTTCAAGACTCGAGGGTAATATTCGGTCTTGATGAAAACAGCCGTTATTGCCCTCAAGACAAGAAATAACCTGAGCGTTGCGACATGTGAGCAAATTCCGTTGTATAATAAATCGCCCGAAAGAAGAATCGACAACTTTATACATTTTTAATTTAAAAAACTGTTCAGTGACATCATTCTTCCTTTTTGTTGAAAGTGAGGACCGTTGGCCACATGATTGGAAATCTGGGTCCATAGGTACATTAACAAAGATATAAAATCAAGAATCTAGCCACAAAGAAATTGTAACGTTGACTCACGAATGCTAGATTTAAGACTACTGTTACTTGTGTCGAAATAAGAGTCGTCGATTTTAAAATTCCCAAACATTTTATTTACATTTCGTAGAGAAAAATCAAGGCGTTCTCTGCCATTATAATTACAAGAAAACAGGCGCTAGTCAATATCAAAATGTTCTTCCTCTCATCTTTCTCCGTCTGCGTTCTGTACACATGCATGAAATTCTGCTATAAATTAGAGGAAATGACTACTCAACACGATGGTCAGTATAGCGATACTTCGTGAATTAGCATCTCGGTTTCTTAATTACAAAGACCGACTCGTGGTGTGAATGGTTTCCAGGGAAGAGGTCAAGCCACGACAACTTTGTAACCAAGAAGTTATTACATCTGATGATTAAGGAAGACTTGACACAAACGAACACGGGTTCATTTTGTTTAACTTCATCACGTGGAGGTTATCTGTCATGAAATCCGACCGAGCGTACGGTTCCCTCACGACAAATTATGTTTACTCCGAGACAAGAGGTACTACTTCATATGTTACGTCAACCCAGTTTCTATTTCGCTTTGATCCAGACCGACAATGACGTAATGTCACCGAAGTGCACGTGCATTTCTTATGCTTGCGAGTCCAATTCTTTTGCCGAGAAACTATGGTCTGTAACCTTTGTCAGAAATCTTTTTCCCCGACTCCTATCGATATCACATCGTATAGATGTACGTCCAAGTGTTCGGGACACGTTAACCGACTTTTGTTTTCACTAGTTTTGCTCTGTGTCGTTTATTTCGCCGCTTAACCCAATTAACGAGACAAATTCAAAACACCAGTCAGGTTAATATCTGAGGGAAATGGGACCATCACAAACAAGTTGAAAGTCGTTAATAAAAGAAGCTTCGTAGAAAACAGTCAGCTTGCCCGGGCACGATTTCCCAGCTTCGATTTTCGTCGATACCGGCTACCTACATCGCGGGACTGAAACCCCCCAGAGACCAACCAAGGAAACGCGTTGGCTGCTAAGGCGGCACGGCATGGGCTAGACTGCACCGCCATGAATTAAACACTTCAACCCCCCGGAGAAAATATCTGCTCTTTCTTGCCTCTTCTCCACGGAATTGTTTGAATGCGGAGATCAAACAGGGGGTTTTTTCTGAAGAAGGCGGAAACCCGGTTCTTACCGCGACGGCTGCCGAAACACGATCAGTCAATGTCCAGGGTCTAAGAACTGAGAGAGATCAAAGATGACGTGACTCCAGGGAATATGGCCAACACGAAAAGGAGGGGTTAAGAACTACTTATTTATTTTGAAGTTATACAAATCCGTACATCAATTGCGCTTGGAGTGAATTAAGTAAGAAGTATTATGCAGCAATATAATCATCATAACTTGGTGACTGCAAAACATTTGGTTAAAAATAAAAGTTGAAAATTAAGTTAGCCTTTGTCAGTTTTTGAAGTGTGTTTTTTAAAGCACTTGATTCAACACTGCATGTTAGTGTTCTTATTTCTTTGTTCACGTGTAGTTCAAAAATCTTGTGAAAAACACACATTTTTCTGGAACAATGCAAACCCATTTTTGCTGGATATTTATAGTTATTTTCATTGACTGCTCCTCCTGTTTTTCAGACAGGGTGGAATGTTGTGTTGGCATGCCGTTTATGAGGAAGTTCAGACGTCTTCACTACCTGGTCTGGTGTGGGCATCTTTCATACTCAAGTCCAAGGAATACTACTCTTTAACAACATGCCCACTCGATGCGGGACTTATAGTTTGCAAAATTCAAACTGCCACAAAGGGCTCTGTAGAATCTGCGAGTTTTCATCGAGGACATTGGTGTAAAGTATCGATGACCTTCGCTTTGCATAATTTTGTTCAAACTCTCATTATTAAATTAAAAATGGAGTTAAGGTATATAATCCATAAACACCAGCTGGATATGTCTTCTAAAGTTCAATTTTGATTGGCAAAAATGTTAACTATAACGGTATTCCGACATTTGTTTCTTTAATTCCTAGTTCCCTTTTCACTGGCTAATGATAGCATATTGTCTGAAACAATTCACCACACCATGCTTCAGATCTGGGGGAAAATGGCCTCCAACGTTAACTTCAATCTCAAGGGAGCACACTGCGTCTCACACTGAACTCCTTTGATCTCAGCCTTCAAAATGCAGACTGTATGCAGTAAGTAACGCAGAACATCTGTGAACTCGACAAGGGATAAAAGCCTATGGGTCTACTTCGTGTATACAATTGAAATAGGAACCTCTTACTCCACGGAATTGTAATGGCAAAGCCCCTGTCCAGGGACTTGCCTTCTAAAATCTTTAAAGCCTTCACAATGAAAAAATGGGATGGCCTATCGCGACCTAGAAATATCAGATGTCCTTTTGTTTTCATTCCGAAACCGTATTTTTGATAGCTTCATTAAACCACAAACAGGTCATAATGGTTTAAGTTCTCATTATGAATGATTCGCTCCCGCCAAAGCGATTTCAACCATTAGCCAAGAAAGAGGGAAACGTGAAGAGAAAATTAAACTAATCTCAGTAAATGACTGTTACTCATCCACCAAATCACGAAAAAATCTTATCTTCAATACGAACTTGAAACAGATATGCACAATATTTTGAAAATTAATTTGGTGTAGAAATTTGTAAAAAAAAAAAGAAAGAAATTATGACAAAATCACCTTTGTCTGCACCGTTACCGAATTATTTTGACTAACTCTCATGAGTGAGATAGGCGTTTACTGCCAAACCACAAGTGTCTCATTGAATACCAGTTTCATCTTTAGATCAATTGTTTTATTTCAGATAGCCTGCATTCCATTACAGCTTATGGGTCGACTTATCCTTCTTTGGACCCAGTATTCTACTATTTTACGAAGTCAGCTTCTAAGGTAGTGAGCCTTCAGCAATGCATATATGGACTTGCCTCGTTCTGTAAGTTTATTTTAATACACCGAATAAAAAGGTTTTTTTTTAAGTGAGAAAAAAATGAGAAATGCCGTCACTTTTGAGAGTTAAACAATTGAAGCATAGAAATATTACGCTTGGGCTCATTCCATGATTGTCAGCAATAACAAAAACAACGTGACTGCCAACCATAAAGGATTAAAATTGCCGCTATTTTATAAGGCAGAGTAAGTCTGTTTGTTGAATGTTACGGGCGTAAACGGGTGATAATGAAGAAATAAAGTAGTTATCTGGATAAAACAAAGATTTCATACCAAGATATTGGCTGATATGTACTCCGTGAACCACAGGTGAAGAGGATGTAAAAATGTCTAACCCGCACGTATAAAACGAGTTTTCAATGCATTATGTATTTCTTTTAATT